TAAAGGAAAACAATGTAGCAGAGACACACTGGATAAGTCACCGGTAACGGATGCACATCGTTCCGGAGAACTAAGAGTCAGTTGTTTTGCCGCAAAACTCATATTATGCCTAGTAAATGAGATCGTGGTTAGCGGAGACTAAGCGGGATTGGGAGGGACAATGAAACTCACAACTCAGACGTCATTTGGATCGACTCCCAGCCATATCAACAAGTGTATCCAGCCAAACGTGTTCCTCGTCCCTCGGTTCCCAACCAAGGAGCCGAGGGGCTCCAGCCGAAGTCAACTATGGATGAAGGGCCTTCCTCTTGACCAGTTTGTCGCTTGGCGACTCCTGCTTCCAGTGGCACCTCCGGCGCGCAAACGACGCACGTCTCGGGAGTCGGTTGGCTGGTATGCGCAACACCTAGCCCAGCCATATGAAGCTGGTGCATGAAATAACGATGCTGAGCAGTTCGCTCCTTTTTCCTACACCATAAACCAGATGTCGAACACACTTCTTGCTCACACGCTGTTCCCACCAGGTATGAGCCAAACTGCGAAGGCACCGGTGGTCGAACGTAACTAACCTCTTTGTGGTTGATCCAATGGACCAGGTTTCACAACCATACAACTGTGTCGAACCTACGGCTGCATTGTACACCCTACCCTTCAAGGATAGAGTAATGTCGCACCGGTGCCATAGGTAGTGAAGGTTAGCAAAAGCGCCTCGTGTTTTTTCTATACGGGTTGTGACCTCGTCTTCAATTCTAACGGTGCTGATAACACTGTCTAGGTAGTTGAACTTTTGTACGACTCCTAGCTAACCCCCACCAAGGGTCAGCATAGGAGGCGCTCTTTGTCAATCTTGGAGGAATGCTTTGCCCTTTGAGGGTGCAAAGTCTAGCCCGAAACGGTTGACAGTGCTAATCTCTCTAGAGCCGCTTAGCAAGTTTGTGAGCTGATACAGATGAGAGCAATCTTGTCAGTGTACTCCAAGTCAAGAAGTCACTCATCTGGGAGCAACTCCACACCTTCTAAGTCGTGTCCTGTGAACGCAATCTCTATGGCTTTGTCAATAACGAATTCGAAGAGGAAAGGTGCCAGCGGACATCTTTGTCTTACACCGCTGGAAATATTGGAGGTGGTGACAGCTCGCTGTAAGTCTTCACTTTGCCCGAGCTACATGCGTAAAGCACTGGCATAATATCTACAGTTTTCGGGAACACCTTTCCTGAGCAGACAATCCAAAAGAGAACATCGATCCACCAAATCGAAGGCACATTTGATGTCGAGAAACGCGGCAACGATAGGCCGCCATTATGTGTGACGGTGCTCCAACAACTGACCCAAAGTGAAGATGTGATCGATGCATCCCTGACTTCGACGAAACCCGACTTGCTCCTCACGAATCTGGCTTTCACGAGTGTCACTCAGTCTATGAAGGATTACAGAGGCAAGAAATTGGTATGCGTTGGGGATCAGACTGATTACTCTATGATTGTTGCATTCCGAACGTCAGCCTCCTTTGAAGATCGGAACAATAACGGAGCGGCTCCAGTAGACTGGGGCAGTTTCCTGCTCCAACAATTTCGCTGGTACTTCGTGTAAATAATCAACAACATCAATGCTCGCGAATTTGAAGTGGGCTGGATGAAGACCATCTTTGACAGTCCGATCTCACCGACTTCTGAACGATAGGGCGGATACGAAGGGACAGTCTAGGAAGCAGGGCGATCACTGGCTGTTAAGGAGTCTAACAGTTCCGGTCGATTAAATTGCTTTTTAAATTGCTCAACCCAACTCTCCAAGCGTTTTGACAAATTGTGGATAGATTGTCCACTCTCGTCACCTATAGTTTCACTAACACCTGATCCCATGCTGCCCGTTTCCCGTATCAGACGGAATAATTTTCGATGATTACCAAGGTCAGCGGCCACTTCCATCTCTGATGCACGATTAAACCACGAGGATTTCCAGCCTCTTTACAAGCTAGCACCTACTTTTGCCTTCAGATATTTGCGAGTCTCGCTTCCAACCGGAATATGCCGACGAGCATCGATAAGTTCCACAGACCGCGAAGAGACCCAATGTTCCTATTGTCCATTAGACTTACCACATGAGGATTTGGCTGCTGCTAGCATGATCAGGTGAACATGCGACCAGTGACCTACAACGGTATTCAGTGAGTGCTTACTCAACTGGCTTCGCCAATTGGCTGGTGTTTGTGCGCTCCCAGCGTCGTCGTGGGCGTCTACCGGAACGCACCTGCAGATCAGTACATACAAGTGCATGTTCAGTGTCTACACTTGCTCCAAGTCGAGCGACAGTTTTGCACGTAGCGTTTCTAGCGATAAGTGCTTGCAATGTGATCGATTTGCGTCCATGGCTGATCAAAGGCTGTTGGGCGCTATATCACCTTCTGACGGGTGCCATGTCGAAAGTTAATGCTTGCAAGAATTAATCGAGCATCTTCACACCGCTCACCGTTTTCATTACGGGAGCGTACACCATGTTGGCCGCCCAGGTGCAGTTCATCACTGGACGATTTTCCAACTTGAGCGTTTAGATTTCCAACCAGCACTAAAGTGTCCGTGCTTCTTCTGTGGCGGAGTTCTTTCAGTTGGCGATAGAAGTCGTATTTTACCGAGTCATCGCTGCAGTTTGTGGGGCGTAGGCAGCAATGGCAAACAGATACCTATTAGCGCCGCATGACTTTGAAGCTTTGAACGAGCCAGCTAGTCGAACCGCACACTTCCGGCTACTGATTGAGATCCAGTCAACCAGAGCATTTCCAGCCCGGGGACTCATGGCAGTACCAACGCCGGCTTGGCCAGTACTCGAAGCTGCATTGTCTCTGGATAGACCCAGCGAGAAAGCACTACTAGTGTTATCTGAGGGGGATCGCAGAGTGAGTACGGCTCGGGTCTTGTAGGCAGGTTTTCGATAAGCAGCAGATATCGATCGAGAGGATCTCTAATGTTCGGGAAACTGCTGTCTGTTGACCTAACTATAACAATGTGCGTACATTGACATGCCAATCTGAGGAAGGATCGGTGGCTCCAAATAGAAGCCGATGAACTGGGCTTGATCGCTTGGTTAGAAATGGGCTTGTCGATAAGGTAAGAGCGACGTTACGCGTTTGCATGTGAGTTGCAACTAGAAGATACAGGTCTGTTAAGGCATGGTTGAGGCCAAGAATTGGGGGTTGAAAAGGGGGGGGGATAAATTGAAGTTGGGACAGGACGATAAGGGAGAAAAATCGTAAGAGGGGAATAAGAAGACCGTTAAGCTTGAGCAATAGCATCCAAACCCCTATTCACCCTGCTCGATGTAGCAGATAGGGCGCCGTTTATTATCCTCTGCGGCAGCCAGAGCTTCAAGAGATTACTTGAAGGTGAAGCCATACTGTTGTATTGCGCCGGCAGGATACTGTCTGGTTGCCCAGGCCTAAACAGCAGAACGATTAGGGTTCTCAACCAAAGCCTTTTATTCAAACACCTGACCGCAATGCTGCGGACTACAAGGTGTCCGTTTTACGGAATAAGAAACCACCCTCACTCCAGCTGTTAATCTGGAGGACCAGGAGACTGTGTTTGTCTGGTTTTTAAACATTGAGCAGTCTGATATGAGTGGCACTGATGGTGCGAAAATTGCACCATTCAGCCTAGCTCAATGGATCGCTGAGGTACTCAAATCATCGCACCACGGTAGAGTCCAGCCACATTGCCATGGACCCGATAGCGGTAAATCCGGCTGAAAGCTAACGTTAATACCCTTAAATTTGAAAGCAAACCGCAGCAGCGCGTTGCCTTCCTCCGGAGTGGATAGGACCACACGAAGCAATCGCGGTCTAAGGTTTGGCGCGCTAACTAGGATGTTACGAAATCTAGTCCGTTTCCTGACAGTAACGCTGGGAAACCTAGGCGGAAAAACTTCATTACACACATTTTAAACCACTGAAGGTCTTCCAACATGTGTTCAGCAGGTAGGGAGGCAGTAGATTCCCTCGTGCACTTAGGCCTTTCTCCTCAGTCCAAACCTTCGTGAACAGTGACAGGATTTCGCTGACAAGTCTATTCCTGCCATCTTTGAATGGAGCCGGGAGTAAGCTATCTGAGCCGGAAGCTATACTATGTTTCAAAGATTGGATAGTGCTTCTCTTCCGTAGGAGGATCTCCGGGGACAGGCCAAAGGAAACAGGTATCACAGTGGGCTGTGCTGGGCAGGTGGATCTAACATCTGCTTGAGCTATATTGCTACACAATAGCTAGGTGTTTCCCACTCCTAGCTAACCTGTATGATGATTACAATAGTTATCCTTACTATAAAACTACTTCTCTCTGCTTTTTTATGGTATTTTCTTTTACTTCACATAACCGGATTACCAGGGGCTGCTAGTACGGCATACGGGAGCGGTAGTTACTCGACCAGGATGTGATGTGGGTGTTTTGTTTTCTGATCACTTTGTTAACTATTGATTTTCCAGGATTATCCTCTCGTTTTGCTGGTGCGCCGTATCTGTTATCTTTCAATAAGACACTGTAAAGTTGCCTCCTTGTAACTAGTTCGGATATTCCTCTTTACCTCTACCTTTCGCATTCGGATTATCAGATGCACCGTATTACTAATTAGGTCCTGGAATTACTTTTGAATTACTTTTAATCGTGATAAATTAGTATATAGTACTGTTTATTTTAGCATCCTCTCTCTAACACGAGTGTTGTATATCACCGCATTAGTGGGCGAAGAAGCTGTATCTTCTAGCCACAATCGTCCGCACATTTAGTCCATTATTTTTGCCAGTCATTGTATAGTTGGGTGTATTTCTTTTCGATTCTAATTAAGTGCATCATCCTTCGCGGTCCTTTGTGTCCTACTCCCACTAGTTATCGAGATTTTGTCCATTGCAAGCTTGTTTTCGGTTTTGAATATCACAAACTGTTACTCTTTATCAATCACAATAGTTACCATTGCTATGGTGTTCCATGTGATATGGCATCACTTTGTTCTTTTTTACAGGTGATCAATTGCTTTTGCTAGACGGTTTTCGCTAACACCGCCAAATGGTATTTGTCACAGCTTTTGCAACAAAATGTTCACAGACTCCTGTTGATTCCCAATAATTACGGGGATTTCTGGATCTTCCAATGACGTTTTCGGGAGTTGGTTTGTTACTTTTTTTCCATCATGCACTTGGTTTGGGGGAGCTGAACTCACAGAACTCTCTAGGATATCCCAATGTTTTCCGTTCTCTACTGAATGTTAACCCCCAGGGGATTACAGACCATATAATTACTCAGCAAAATTCTTCCGAGCTTCCTAATGAAAATGGTAAGTTCACACATCCTCTTTCTTTCTTAGCCTCTCCGTGTACACAGGTACTATAGTCACCGTACACCAGTTTTGGGGATGCAATCTCATTTTTCCCGGTTACCTTATCACACAGTTTCCATGGAGCAGCTACTTCTTGATAGGTGTCTGGACCTAGAAACCATTCAGGTGCCCAACGAGATTGGACATATTCAGTTATTGTCTTCGCAGTATCTAAAGAACGTATCTAAGCTGACTTCCAAACTCCAAGTGACATTTGGTGTACCCGCTGGATGATTGGATTGCGACTCGCAATCTCTATTCAGACCTCGGTCCACTTTGAAGTAGACCTCGGTCATTACGATCACAAGGACCGAATCCGAATTCGTGGTTTGGTGTTGCTCTTCCCAACCCTCTAAATTGTTCAAACGACATCATAGCATGGTGCCCCACGAGACAACCGCCACTTTGAGGAAAATATTATCAGGATCAGAAAGAAAACGAGATGCTCGGGAGCGACGAATTCTCGCATACAAAAACAAGTAGGTAAAATCACCATGTGGGACAAATAGAAAAGTGGCTATCAACAAGGATACAAGAACAAAAAATAGCTTGAGAGAAATATTATTTGCTTTCGCTGGTTTTAGCGCACGTGGATGCCGGGCACAGCTTAAACTGAATGAAACTAAAAGTCTAGACCCATGGATAAACACAAAAGGGGGAGTTTTTTGTAGCCTGGTTCTCAACCACGAACTTAATCAACACGCATGTCGATATAGATTTAATGTACGAAGCGGCGAGACTAGCGGAGCACAGTAGGATTAATTGCTGCGGCTCGTATGAATCCAATTCGCCAGACAGATAATACAGAGCACAGTCAATGGGAACTCAGACTGCTGACCTACGTTTATTGCATCACGAAGCACAAAATTTCCAACTACCTCGCGACAGTATTTATGAGCCACTGTTATTGACTCGAGCACCTCTGTAGAACACAACGAATAGCCAATCAGAACAAGGCAAAATAGCTCATACGCCTATATAAGGGAGAGCGTAGCAACTGATGATATCCGTCCTCAAGTTTGCTTTCAACAAACTCTTTCTATGAAATTTCCATCACACCTGAACCGATGATGTCATTTCGAATGGTGATGAGATGTCTACAAGCAATAGGCGCATCTCGGCGAACACAACAACTGGACACGCCTCCTAAGCCACTCGTATTTCAAGTTATTTCGCGATTGGACATTCATACTCTCATAATCGGGGATAAAACTTTGGAATCATCGCTGTCTATTATCTCTGATACACCTTATTCCTGTTTCCATCTCTGTTGATTCTTCCCTCTGGACTAATGTTACGCACCTTTCTTCCGTAGGGTGGTAACAGCAATACCACTGCGTTCACCATATCACCACAATGCACTAATGTCTAGTTTACTCAGACTGCTCATCTGTGCATGTTACTTCTGATTCTCGTTGACCCCGTTAACTTACTGAATACTGAAAATAGTGAGCTAGTAGACATGCGTCTGTGTTACTCCACCGTAATTACTTTCGGCACTTGCGCAGAGTCACGTCACAGATTCTTGAACTTCTGGTTCATATTACAACTGCACTATTTGCCATTCGGGCGCGATGCGCTCCATATATCTGAAATCCGCAACGTGGATGTCTAGGAATTGCTTGAATTCCGACACCGATTTCGGCTCGACAATTTTTCGCAGGCAAACTGTTCCGTTATTTCACCACTCGGCGCTCGAAGCATAGAGGGTGAGCTATCTGCTTTAGGTCCAGTACTACTAGCTCGTAGCGGTGCCCGCGAGTGGTGCTTGGTGCACGCACGTCAAGTAGTGGCCTCAGCATGGTGAGTTACCGAGAAGCACTATCTGGTGTGCTATAATGAGGTCAACTCTAAACTGACGATACGACTATGGGTACGGCCCTAGTCATTTGCATGGATCTTCTTACGGCATACTCCGTAAACTGGGGATGAGCTTGGTTGCCATGCGCTGATCATGTTCCAGTCTCTGCACCTCGCCACGGGTAATCTGACAATAGGCGGGTGATCCGTACTCGAGCATCGGTCTTATGATGAAAAGAAGAGGCGCGTGGTAATATATTAAGAGTAGCTGCAGAAGCTGCGCTTGAGTGCTCAAAACACGCGCAGTCCGTTTACGTATAGCTTGTTTGTGTTGTCTGTGGACTTCAAATCACAGCGTATTAGTCCGCCGATATATATATATATATATATATATATATATATATATATATATATATATATATATATATATATATATATATATATATATATTTGCAACAGTCTATGAATAGACATTGCACCATCGGAAACCATGGAACTCAAAACAAGGTACAGAAATAGTAAAAGAGAACACAACACAACACAACAATGTCCACGGTTTCGTCAGAGGGCGAAATACTACCCGGTTGCCCAAGCCGAAGTAGGGTGTTGACTTAGGGGACACCACCCCGAGCCTTCGGCTGAATAGCCTGTCCACAAGGCAGCGGAGCGAATTCAGGGAATCGCGCCCATTGGGAGCTGGTGACTGATTGATCAGTTCATACGCCTTTCGTTTGTTCCTTTGCCAAACAGGGGCCCAATGCTCCCCGAAATTACAGCATCAACTTGCTGGAATACAATGCTTCGCCAGGATGAAGCAAGGGGCAGTGACTTTATTTAGTGGCGAGTCACGTCCGCCACGTCACAGTGTTGTTAAACGGACATATGTGGCTTTTTATAGGGAGAACGCTTGCCAGGCGAAAACCCACCACGTGCTGGAACACTGCCGCCGAACCATTTGCTGGAACGGGAAAATCCCGAACCACCCAGCTGGCACCACGAAAAGGTTGTTCGGCAAGCCAGCCGATATCCTTCACGGAACCTCGGGGATGTAGTAGTTGGTCGGCCAGCGTGTAAGTACGCCCATCAACATTCTTCCCTAGGGTCATGTATAATGATTCGACTAAGTTGACCGGCGGATCAGTATCTGCAGACCATCTGGATGGGAACTTGAGGTCACAGTCGTCACATTCCTCAAAGCATCAGTTATTGTCTATATCTCCAGATCGTCTAGGAACATGGCACTAGGCGACCGAAGAAGCTAAGGCACTTCGTTGATGTGGATCAGGAACAAAATGGGCCCCAGTACTGTACTTTCGGGTACACCACTGGCGGTGGATGGATCCCAGTCCTTAAGATGACCATCCACCTGTATCCTCCATTCTCGTCCAATAAGGAAGCCGCTGCTCCACTTATGCAGTGAGCCATCAACAACACATCCTAAGCTTATTGAAGAGCGCCTCATGGGTCACTTTAGCAAATGCTTTGCTAACATCAGTGTTGATCACATTCACCAACTTCTCTGGTACAACGCTTGCAACCATTCACGCCGCGTCAACAGCAGCTTGATGATACAGGAGCGGCCCTTTATGAAGTCGTGTGTGCGGTGGTCAGGTTTTTCGACCCCGGCAACTGTAGTGAACCCTTTTTCACGATCTTTTCGAATACTTTGGCCACAACGAAGGTCAGAAAAATCGGCCTATAAATGTCCTCCTTGCTTGTGTCACCGTCCTTTGGTATAGGCTTCACGATCGAGCACTTCCAATCGCTCGGCAACACATCTTCGGACAGGGATTTGTTGAACAGATCAGTCATGGATGGCGCAATGTTGCTCGACAGCGACTTGAAAATCGTTGGGTGGACCCTATCTGGACCGGCGGACTTCGTGCTGTCAAGACTGCCAAGTAGCTTGCGCACATCTTCCAGACTATCGAGTCCCGTAGGGGCTGCACTCATGGAGTCTGGAATAGACGCAAGTACACTTGCAAATACAGAAGCGTAGTACGTCGCCAACGCGGACGCACTTTCAGCACTGGAAACCAGAGGCTGTCTGTCAGAGTCCGGTATCATTGCTACTTCGATTGTCAGTTTCAGACGCCACTTCACCTAAGAGAAAATTTGCTTGGTGACCGTTTTCGCTACGGTTGCAACCTCCTTTTCAAACTGTCGATGCTTCTGTGCTTTCGCGCTGTTGCATAGATTCTGTTGCCTTTTGTACAGCTCTTAATCGTCGGCAGAGCAAGACTGGAGGAATTTATTCCGCAATACCCTTCGCTCTCGAACCAACTGGCCCTACTGTTTGTCGAACCAAAGTTGCTTCACTGACCCAGCTTTTCGATATTTGTGGGGTACACATTAAGCACACAGCGGTTGGATGCGATTTTACTATAAACCAACAGGCTTCAACAAATGAATCCTGCGGCAGCGACCAGTCCACTTGACTAGCGATAGTTGTAAGATGGCTCCAGCGGATGTGAACATTGCAGCGAAAGCTCAAGGCTGGCCATAACTATTGAGTGATCACTCGCTACTAGACTCCAGGACCAGAACATCACCCACACGCTGTTCGCAGTTAGTCAACATCAGGTCCATGCACAACGGATTTGAATGCGGTGTAATGCATGTTAGTTGGCAGATGTGCTTTACTGCCCTAATTTCGAATATCACCTCAGCGAATTCTGCCTCGAATTCACAATCCCCAGGGAGAAGTTGAACACTTGGTTAAAGTACTCTAGGTAACTTAAACCATTTATAAGCAAGAAGCCGAGACGACTCATCTCGTTTCGGATGTGCGGCAACCAATCCAAACAACGACTTCCCGGATTGCGTCAGGCTACAGCATTGAACCAAATACCACGTCTCAGATGGATCGAGCCCCACAATTGCTCACATAGGCCATCTTCACTTCGATAGGTGCTTAGCAGCATCCAGCACAACGAGGACCGAATGCGTAGCAGCACACCACTGGTTGTTCAATGGTTTGTCGCACCGGTAGCACAAGTAGCCTTATATCCGGATTTCATGAGTGGTTACCCCAGGACTCAATCAGGTCTCAGTCAGACCTAGTATGTCCGGCCGACGAGAAGCAACGAAGTGGCACAGGTCATCATGTTTGTTTAACAAACTGCAAACATTGGTGGAGGCTACGCGCAGTTCACAGT